TTATGAATAGATAATAAAACAGCCCATCTTTTATCCCGGTTTTGAAAATGAAAAAAAATAATTTTATTTTTTGCCTTTTGATCAGCTTAGATTAGTTGTACATCAAGTTGTAGATAGAGATTGTATTTTGCTCTGTTTCTTGTGTTAGAATTCAAGGCTGTGATGGCTTCCATCCTAGCGAGTTGATGTTGTCTAGTTTAACCATTGTTAAGCTTTGATTTTTTTTATTTGGCTTGTTTGCAAACTATCTCTAGTCACCATGTTCATGAGTTCTGGTTTATAAAGACCAGAGCAGACAGGAATTTGAAGTAGGAGTTCAGGGTCCTGCTTCAAAGAATGAACTGAAGATGTAATTCGGCCAGTTTGCTGCTTTTGGAAACCCATGAAATCAGTTATAGGTAGTCCTCGACTTAAAACAGTTCGTTTAGTGACTGTTTGAAGTTACAATGGCAATGATAAAAGTGACTTATGACCATTTTTCACACTTATGGCTGTTGCGGCATCCCCATGGTCACATGATCAAATTCAGATGCTTGGCAATTGACTCATATTTATGACGGTTGCATTGTCCCGGGATCATGTGATCACCTTTTGTGATCTTCTGATAAGCAAATTCAATGGGAAAGCCAACCATGTTATTAATTTAACAACGGAAGTAATTCACTTAACAACTGTGACAAGGAAAGTCACAGTAAAATGAGGCAAAACTCACTTAACAAATGTCTCACTTAGCAACAGAAATTTGGGGCTGATTTGTGGTCGTAAGTCGAGGATTACCTGTACCGTGTTCTCAACACCCCCCCCCCCATGAGTAGCAAGATTTTAAGTTCAGAGTCTGATACTCTCTGACTAATAGGGGTTTGATTGGGATGCTCCCTCTTTCTTTATAGGCTTCTCACTTTTCATCTTGACAAAGATAAGGTGTCTTTTCCTCTGAGATGCTGATTTACACAATTCTAGGCAGACCAGAAACTTTTAACACCATTGTAAAATTCAAGACACAAGGTCTTGAATTTTATTTGGCTATCTTCCCAGGTGTCTTTGGTAATAAAATTAGTCCTTGAAGCAATAATCACTACCACCATTTTGGGATAATCTTTTTAAGAAAAGCTACACATCTTCATATATGTCCCCTTGTGTTTGAAATCTCCTTGTGTTTTGTATGTCTCCATGTTTGTCTATGTCTGTGTAACGATTCAAGTGTATCAGAGAAGTTATTGGTTTATTAAGCATTTCTTAGTGATTCTGATAAGGGGTAATTTGTAGAAGTATAAGTGAGTTTTTTTGTTTTTTAACTCTTTTGAAATTCCTTTTTAAGGATTTTTTAAAGTATTCTTTAATGAATGTTTCATTGTAGTACTTACCATGTTGTTATGAAGACCAATTAAATATTTTTGCAATGCTTATCTGTGAATTAGCTGTGAATTAGAGATACTAAAATGTAGCTACAGTAGTCCTTGACTTACAACCATAGTTGAACCCAAAATTTCTGTTGTTAAGTGAGACATTTGTTAAGTGAGTTTTGCCTTGTTTTATGACATTTCTTACCAAAGTTGTTAAGTGAATCACTTTAACAGTTGATAATTTATTAACCTGATTTTTAAGTGAATCTGGCTTCCCCAGTGACTTTGCCTGTCAGAAGGTTGCAAAAGAGGATCACATGACTCTGGGATGCTGCAATGGTCATAAGTTTGAACAATTTGGGAAGCATCTGAATTTTGATCACATGATCATGGGGATGATACAAAGGTTGTAACACTGAAAAATGGTCATAAATCACTATTTTCAGTGCCGTTGTAACTTTAAACGGTCACTAAAAGAATGGTTGTAATTCAAGGATTACCTGTATGGGGAGCAGACTAGGGTCTCAGTACTAGAGACTAGAGAGAAAACCAAAATATAGGTAAAATACAAGATGACCGGGATTCTTTGTGTGTATAGTACGACGTAAATCTACCTGACACAGATGCGGTATCTTGCCTGCTTATCACAAAGGCTTGTGCTACACTACACATCCTACTTTTTTCTATGAAAGAGACTCAAAGCAAGCTATAAGAGGAAATACTTTCCCCAGTCCTCTGAATCTGCTACCTGGCTTCCAGTCTAACGCTCTACCTCACACACAATTACTTTTATTACCAAACTTCCATTGGCCCAGTGGAGATTTTTAACAAGCTCAGTTGCTGCATTTTTGAGAGTCTTGAGATTTCTGAGCAGAAGGATTTTCAAAAGACTTCCTCTGGTTGCTACTGAGGAGATGGAACTAAGAAAACAGCAGTGCTGATGTGGATCATGCCAGGGATTGACTCACTAAATCTTAAGACACTGGATTTCCGTGTGGATGCCCCAAGTGAGTGAAGGCCTGATGTAATTTCCTCTTCAGAGAGACAATAATCTGCCACACTTGATCTCTGCTTCGAGTGCCTGGTTCATAGAAAATACTTGCATTTTCAAGGAGATAGTGAGCTTCACCTAGTAAATATGCCACGGAAAGTAACCAGGACGCTAGGCTGGGTTTCGGGAAACACCCGAGGTATTTATTTGTAGATTGCATAATTAGAAGAGAAATATTACTCAGGATACTAGTAAGCTAATCTGTAGGGCAGAGATCGCAAGGCTGTATCCCCCCTCTCATGTATCTGTAGAGAACTTAAGGAGCTACTTGGTGCTTAAGAAGGGGACAAGTTTGACAGAAATAGCAGAGAGCATTTCATGGTACATTCTCAACTAGAATAAATGATGCCATTGACGGGGGAGAACATTTTGCAACGTTTCTCATTCACTTTGTTCAATCTCTATGGTGATTCTCAGTCATCCAAGTCATAGTTATCCCAAAGGTGCTTTTTCACGAGGCAACTGGACTTTCTTGTTTTTTCTTTGAAGACGTTTCATTCTCATCCAAGAAGCTTCTTCAGTTCTGATTGGATGGTGGGGAACGGAAGGATTTATATGACACTGATGACACAGATAAACCTCCAGTTGGTCTCAAAGACTCTGTAAAAGAATGCAAATGACCAGCTGTCTGCCAGGAGTGTAAATCCTTCCATTCCCACCATCCAGTCAGAGCTGAAGAAGCTTCTTGGATGAGAAGCGAAACGTCTTCAAAGAAAACAAAGTCCATTTGCTCATGAAAAAGCACCTTTGGGACCCACTTTGTTCCTTTTCCACTGTCAGGAATTTTCTCCTTAGTTCTAGGCTGCTTCTCTCTTTGGTTAGTTTCCATCCATTGCTTCTTGTCCTGCCTACAAGTGCTTTGGAGAATAGCTTGACTCCCTCTTCCTCCCGAGATATTGGAACACTGCTATCATGTCACCCTTCATCCTTAGTTCTTGTAAGAGAAGCAGCCTAGAACTAAGGAGAAATTTCCTGACAGCGAGACAATTAACTAGTGGAATAATTTGTCTCCAGAAGTTGTGGGTGCTCCAACACTGGAAGTTATTAAGAAGAGATTGGACAGCCAATCTGTCCAACCGTGTATAGGGTTTCTTGCCTGAGCAGGGGTTGGACTTGAAGACCTCCAAGAGCCCTTTCAACTCTATTATTATTCTGGTTGCTTAAGTCATAAAAATATATAAGGTTTTACAGAATACACTTTATTTTGGGTGCCCATTTAAAAAGCACACAGAGGAGAAATGGTGGAGAAGGATCTGTTCAGATTGATTCCTCTAATAACTCTGCACCAAAATAGTAAGACTTGCTAGAAATAATCTTAAAATGGGAGCTATTGATTGCCTGACAAAAGCAGACTTTTGAATTTTGTAAGATAAGAGCATTTCAGTCTAATGAGATACTTGACAAAGATGCCAAGATCAAATGCAAACATGTACTGTAATATGATGCTTAAACATTGATTCATTGAAAAGGAATCTGAGTGTTTTTATAGAATCAGGAATCATTTGTCTGACATCAGAATAAATTCACGGTATTCTACCCAATAATTCCAGGAGACTACCGGTAAATTTTAAAAGTTTTATTTTAGCAACATAGATGTACTACATTTTTTCTCTTTATTTCTCTGTCATTCAAATCTCACATATATCTGAGATTCTTCTTTGGATTGGCCAGGTGACAAAAGGACATGGGAAGTCCCCTGACAGTGCAGTTTGAGAGGAACGTTAATGGAGTGGAAGATGGAACTTTGGTTTTTTATTTCCTTCCAGCATTTTTTTTATACATCATGCTGGATTGCTTCAGTTTGATTGCTGGGTTACCTCATACATCAAGTCATGAGCATTTGGCAGTTGCTCATTGGACCAAGATGTTCTCTCCCATAACCATTCGGTGGCCAAAGGGAATACAAACACTTTCAAAGAATTCTCGCTCCATTCCTAACTTGCCCTGGAACATCTCAGATCTTGATAGAGTCTTGTGCACATATACTTTCTTCTCCAGTTCAACAACAAAGATCAGAATTGTGCAAGTCATGGTATTTCCTATTATATTCTTTGTTAGACTTTGAAGAAACAGGATTATTATTTATTTATTTAGCATATGGCATAAAGGGCCAAGGAGTTTACAGTGTTTACATACTTCTGGACACTTCTGGCCCTTCTGAAGAATACACTTCAGTTATTTTTTATAATACATTTTTATTAGTTTATCAAAATATAAAATACAAATTATTGAGTGAAAACATAAAGCTAGCCCATGCGATATGCACAGTTGAACTATAGATATTACTTACATGACTGCTGGTTCTGCCTAAAGATTCAGAGATATACTATGAATGCTTAAGAAGTGAGAAGCAAGAGCACTCAGCAATCTGGCTGTTACTAATTGCTGTTTGACTCCTTCATACTTTGAGAATTGTCTTATGTGTTGCTATGATAATGAAGCCTACTTATTTTTTTTCTTCTTATGTTCCTTTACATTGGCCTGAAAGCCATTATTTTAAACTGTGAATATCTTACACTCTATAAATAAATTAACAAAGTATTAATGTCCACAAATTCTGAAATTTATAAAAATCATAATCTTCTTTTTCTTCTGCTGTATTTTAGTTACCTGACAGCGAGTAACAAGCAGAAATTCTTATATTCCACAAGACCTTTTTTAAAGAGGGCTGCCTTGGTACTTACCTATGTAAGTATTGCTATAAATCATTTTTTTACTTCTTGAATGTCTTCAATTGAATTATGTTCTATTAGTACCTGAGTGTGAAGAATAAATGAATTCAGCAGGACAGTCATAACTCAAAGACATGCTGATTAGAACAGGTTAAGATGAAGATACTTTCAGCATCACAAATCTTTTTTGATCAATGGAAGCTCACGTAGAAGTTCCTTTTGCTAGCTGACCAGAAAGCTGAATTGTATTATATCCAAACCTTGCTCCACTCTCGAAACAGCTCATTAATTCACCCAATAAAATATATGTAAGACTACTTGGCAGTTTTTCAATGGTTAACCAGCCTTCAAATTATTCTCTTCTCCACCCCACCCCACCCCCATTTTTGTATTTTGGAAATAATAAAGAATCGCCATTTAAGTTTGGAATGATAGCTTATCACTTGACACTGGTGATGCAATGGGGTGACCAATAACAATGAAGTGTTGTAATAGATTTAGGTTTTCTGGCCATATACAATTGGGTTTCTCTCTAATAATCCAAGAATTTACTCTTCTTATCTGAAGGGGATCCTACTTATGTATTTTCGCCTATGGATAATGGGAGGTTCCATGCCAGCCTTTTCAGAGCAGGACAATCCAGCTTCATTCTCACCGTATCTTCTTACAAGGTACTCAATTGGGATTTACTTCTTTTCAATATAAAGCAAATATAAACCAAATTTAGTCTATATGCCGTCACTTTTCCCCTCAAAAAGTGCATTTATTAAAATGAACCCAACAGTTCTGTTATTCCTAGGAGTTTAAACTCATTGCCATTAAATCATCTCAGTGTAAATATTTCAGGAACTCTCCCAGAGGTGACATTTGGAGACGTTCGCATGTGAATAGTGCCAGTTCCAAAATATATCTTGAATGCTTTGAAATTCATAAGTTACACTAGTATATTTTGATAATGTGTTAAATGTGATTATCAGCCACCTGTTCCCACTGCAATGATCTGTTTGTTTCATTCCAATTTAGCCTTCAAGAATGGGCTGTGTGATTCTCCACATCACCTTATTGATTTTATCAATCTTTATTTTGGGGATTCTTGGATGTTTTGTATAAATCAGAGATCCCCAAATCTTTTTAGCATCCTCTGAATGTCCTCAGAAAAAGATTATCAGAAAAGAGGGCTTTCTCATTCACAGGAGAATTTAATATGGGGAAAAAGCCTAGTTCAAAGACTTTGATTATGCAGAATATTTAGTAAGCTTTGTAAACTACAGATCTGATGTTCAAGGCCATCCAAATATTAATCAGGATCCATCCTGTTTATTTGCCAGGATTTGAAAAGGCCATCTGGGTGCTGTCCCTGCTAAGAGATACAAGATATATAAGCACTATCAGCTTGGATAAATGCTTAATAAATGCGTTGCTGTATATTTGTGGGATTGTGCACTACCATCTCCCCATGGAATTCAGAGAATAAAAAGCAGAGTTATTTGCCCTCTTCAGAACAAGCCACCAAGGCAGTTAAGCTATGATTGCTGCAGCAAGGGAGGAAACTATAACATAAACAATTTTCCCCAAATCTAGGGCAGGCATTTGTAAACTTAAAAGAGGAAGCAATGTATCTCAAAATACTTTGAAATCCTAGTGGACAATCATTTAAATATGAGCCAGCAGTGTACTGCAGCTGCCAAAAAAGCCAACACAGTGCTAGGCTGCATTAATAGAGGGATAGATTCAAGATCACATGAAGTATTAATATCACTTTACAATGCCTTGGTAAGGCCACACTTGGAATACTGCGTCCAGTTTTGGTCACCACAATGTAAAAAAGATGTTGAGACTCTAGACTCTAGAGAGTACAGAGAAGAGCAACAAAGATGATTAGGGGACTGGAGGCTAAAACATACAAGGAACGGTTGCTGGAATTGGGTATGTCTAGTTTAATGAAGAGAAGGACGAGGGGGGAAATGATAGCAGTGTTCCAATATCTCAGGGACTGCCACAAAGAAGAGGGAATCAAGCTATTTTCCAAGGCGCCTGAAGGCTGGACAAGAAGCAACGGATGGAAACTAATCAAGGAGAGAAGCAACCTAGAACTAAGGAGAAACTTCCTGACAGTGAGAACAATTAACCAGTGGAACAACCTGCCTCCAGAAGCGGTGAATGCTCCAACACTGGAAGTTTTAAGAAGAGACTGGACAGCCATTTGTCCGAAATGGTGTAGGGTTACCTGCCTGAGCAGGAGGTTGGACTTGATGACCTCCAAGGTCCCTTCCAACTTTTATTATTATTATTATTATTATTATTATTATTATTATTATTATTATTATTATTATTATTATTATTATTATTATTATTATTATTATTATTATTATTACTATACCCAAGAGATTTTAGAAATTGAATCTCTTGAGAAGAAGCAACACATCTTTGGAGTTTTTTTCCCTGATCTTTTCCCTATCTTTTGTTTTCTTTCTTTGCCTCAAATTTGTAGTAGCTCAAGTTCCATTACCAGAGGTAACTCTTGCAGCTTCAGAAAATTGCCCAGTGTATTATCCCCAGATAATAATTCATCACACTAAAACCGTGCAGCTGCTGGTTTTGTTAAACACCTATTAGGATTCCTCTCAAAGGGCTGTTTTAGGGGATGGTCCTATTGAGTCCTTGTTTAAATTAGGCATTTCTGTGAAAGAAGAGGAAAATCCGTGCTAAGCTATCATGTTTTAAACTTGCATTCTGTGAAAATGATCACCGGGAAGCCTTTTTCCAGACTAATCCTGAGAATACAATTGAGGTCCCATCTCTGGAGGACAGAAGGCATTGCAATGCAAACCTTCAGTATTCTGGGTTCTTTGACCTGATCTGAACAGGTTTATCCTGATATCTCCTTTTAAAGACCCACGTGTTTCCTTTCTTAGATAACCAACAGGATGTTAATGCTACCCAACACAGGAAGACTACTGTAATGGCTTTCAGTCAGAATAATATTTTTTTCTTTGCTACTTAACACTGAGAGCTTTTTTCTCAGGGGTGTTTTTATCTTTTGCATAGGCTCTAAATCAACTGCGTCTGATAAAGCACTTTATAATAAGGTTATAAAGCACTGTGGCTGCAATTGTAACCAAGTTCTGTTATTTATGGGCTTTCTATCTTAGCTGAATTGGTTTAGGTTGAGGCACTGCTGTTGGATAACCCAGCTTTCTCTTCCTTGGTATTGCTGGCATACTTCTCTTGGTTAAATAAATCATTTTCAAAAGTTAATCATCATAGCTTCTCCTGTACCTCTATGTAGATGCGGGTATATCTGAACTGGTATACTGTTCTGTTAATCTGCATATAGACACACACACACACACACACGCACACGCACACACACACAGAGAGAGAGATGGGATGTGTCAGAGCTTTTGTAGGGAATCCGTAATGTACACAGGAGCTCATAGGAAGCCTCTTTTCTTTTCTTTTTTATCTTACACTCTTATTGTTTTATCAATGTATAAAATACGAAGAAAAATAAAAATAGGAAATGAAGGGAGGAAAAAAGAAAAGGGGAAAGAAAATATGAAGTACAAGGGAAAAAAGAAAAGGGTGTTGACTTCTGACTCTTTTTAGCACAGTACAAGATAACAACATTACAGCCTCAAGTTTTTACTTTTATACCTTAGTATATAGCTAGCCATTTTTATAACAAATCTTATCTAATCAACATAACCAAAGTCAAAGTTTCATTTTTTTTAATCACAAGCACAAAATCCAGAAGTGATAACCAAATAAAAAACATAAATATTGTCTATTCTTCTCTTTGAATAGAACAATCAATTTAACCATTTCTGTTGTTGAAATAATATTACGCTTAATAATCTTTATAAACTACTACCATTTACACTAACAAAATTCACTGTATTCTTTCAGATTCCTTTACCTTAAAGGGGAAAAAAACCCCTTTTTTATCCATTTTAAAACACTAAGCTTTTCTTTAAAAACATTTCTGAAATCAAAATATTCTAATACATTTTTTTTAACTTCCAAGCCTCTTTTTTCAAGGGGTTGCAATTGTTACCTCTTTTTTTCATTTTTTGTGCGTCCTTTGTGCGTCCCTTCTGGGACCACAGTTGGGACCATAATTTCCATAATTGTTAAGTGAGTCACAGATTTTATGATCTTTTTTTTGCTACATTTGTTAAGTAAACTACTGTAGCAATTAAGTGAACAATACAGCTGTTAAGTGAATCCAGCTTCCCCCATTGACTTCACTGGTCAGAAACCAGCTAGGAAGATTGCCAATGGCTGATTGCTTGACGCATTGCCCATTGCCAAGAGCTGAAATTTTGATCATGTGATGATGGGATTTTGCAATGGTTGTAAATGTAAGAACTGATGCTAAGTTACCTTTTCAGTGCTGCTGTATAAATGTTTGTTAAAAGAATGATTGAAAGTCGAGAACTCCCTGGAGTCTTTATCAGTACAGGGTTCAGGATATTTGTTCAAAGGCTCTAGAAGTATTGGGGTAAAGTTTTCCAGCCAATAAAGATACTGAGCTTGTCACCTGGAGAGCTGACAGCCCGGGTTTGAGACCCAAGCTCTGTGCAACGGGGTGAGCTCCCGTCCTCCCCTCAGCTTCTGCCCATTTAGCAGTTTGAAAGGATGCAAATGCGAGTAGATTAATAAGTACCACTCCGGTGGGAAGGTAACAGCGTTCCATGTGCCTTCAGCGTATAGCCATGCTGGGTCACATGACCACATTGTCTTCAGACAATGCTTGCTCCTTCAGCCAAGAAATCTGGAGATGAGCACCATATCCTAGAGCCGGGCACGACTGGCAGGGAAAACTTTATCTTTTTACAAACAGAAAAAAGCAGCGTCCAATTAGGTTAGACCTGCATCTCTGAAATATGTAATCCAGCAGTGAAATTTCTCAAGTATCTGTAGCTCATCCCAGGAAAACAGCTGGAAGCTATTATAAAGCTTTTCTCTATATTATTCTCTCTATAGTAATTAGTTTTTTGTGTTTCTTGCAGGTGGGAGTATGTACAGATTTGATATTCATTTTCAAACTTGCATTTGTTATTTTTCATATCCAATTATAGCCCTGTGTCCTTAGCAGACCTCAATTTATTGTGTTTTTTCCTTAGGTTGCTTATATCAGTGATACAAATGCATTAGCCATGGAGATATGCTTCAGGTCTTCAATATGTTTTGCAAAGCAATGGAAGAGTCACTAAGGAAAGCCTCATGTAGTAATTCTTAGGGTCTTGGTTCTCTGGCTCTCGGTTTAGTACCCTTGTTGTAGACAATCTTAGATTTTGATCCACCACAATTAAAAGAGGAAGGTAGTTCACAAATAGAATTCATGAGTTTTCAAACAGGCTTGCAGTGAATCAATATGAGCTTTCTTTGGTTCCTACTGTGATGTTTGGCAAATCAATTCTAAATTGTTCAAATTTAACAAGAACTTTCATTATTTGGCAAAAAAAGTAATGTAATGAAGAAATTTCCTGTTGTGATGAGCTGAGATGTGAACTAGACAGTTATGAACAGAGTGTGGTGAATGTTTTAGAATCTGGGAATAAGTCAATCAACAGAAGTTGACAGATGGTATGGGAGGAATTTAAGAGGTCCCAAGGCCCAACAAAACAATGAAAAGGCATTGAGTTGATATCTATATTTTTCATGTTTTTGTTAAGTACAATTTCTGAGAAGACGTATAAAGAATTGAACAAATCTAATATCCCTTTTCACAAACAACGGAAAGAAGAGAAACTCTGGATATCGTGTTTTTATATTTATATGATGAGTACGTAAGACCATTTGCAGAACTCAGACACTTGCTGGCTTCACATAATATAGTGCTGTCTCAACTATATTTAAAAGTTTTAATTACATAGGAGACTTTCTCTGATTTCCTGGTTCCTGTAATGGTTCCCGTGTGTTGCTGGGATTAACATTGCAATCTTTGCTTCCTCTTCAGTTTGCACATACTATATTACCACACCGTATAAAATTGGTTTTTAATATAAAACATAAGTAGCCTAGCTAGTCCATAAGAAAAACATCCAATATTTATGTGCTCTGGCACCATTTCCAGTGCTGAATGGGAAGAAGGAACCCAAGACCTGGGTTGCTAAAGAACTCAAGATACACACTTGTCATGATGAATTGCCTCTCCCACCACTCTCCTGTCTGTCCTGTATGAATGGTACAAGAGGCCCCTCCGTGTAAATATACGGTTTCTATTACCTTAGGGTAGCTTTGTACTGTATTGTAATTGTGGTATCTATTGTTTATTATTTCTCTGAGATCCCCTGTGGTGACTCTTATCCCTATGTTAGCTAATATTTTTTATAAAAAAGTAAATATTTTAAAATCACTGTATATCTTAAGTTTTAAATTTAAAGAAAAATAATATATGAGTAATACGTTTTCACACTTTCTTTATGCGCGTACTCTGTATTTTCTCCAAGAAGCTCAATGTGATGTAGGCCTACACCAGGGGTAGGCAACCTTGGCTCTTTTATGACTCGTGGACTTTAACTCCCAGAATTCCTGAGCCAGCATGGCTCAGCTTGGAAACCTCTCCCTTTCCCCTCAGCATGGCTGGCTCAGCAATTCTGGGAGTTGAAGTCCACGAGTCATAAAAGAGCCAAGGTTGCCTACCCCTGGTACACAGTATGCTAAGCTGTCATGTGCTTGATTTAGCATAGTATGTGAACGCAGGCATTGGGACTGACTCAGTACTCCATGATTAACATTAACTCAGTCAGTATGTGCTTAGAACCTGAACAGTAGGGCCAGCCATTTTTTGGAGCTAGTCTCCTAAAAAAGTTTCGGAACATGCAGGATCCTGAACATACAGTTAGTCCTTCATTTGTGACCGTTCATTTAGTAACCCTTCAAAGTTAAGACATCATTGAAAACGGTGACTTATGATTGGTCCTTCCACTGGTGACCATTTCAGTGTCCCAACAGTCATGCAATCACTATTTGAGTTCTTGGTAATCAGCATGTATTTATGACGATTGCAGTATCCCGGGATCATATATGATTGTCATTTGCGACTTTTCCATTGACAAGCAAAGTTAATGGGGGAAGCTGGAGTCACTTAATGACTGTGTGATTTGCTTAATGACTGCAGCAAAAAGATCATAAAATCATTTGTGGCTCACTTAATGACTGCTTTGCTTAGTGATGGAAGTTCTGGCCCAATTGTGGTCATAAGATGGGACTATCTGCAGCATCTCTCTGCAACATTTTAAAGCATTTGTGTGTCTTCCCCCCCCCTTCCGCCCCCCACCCCCGATCAGGCAGTGCATACTTGGAATCAGTTTTGGGGGGGCTGAATCTGAAGTATTGCATAGTCCTATTGAACTTTCTGCCTTCCACTGAAGAAACACGCAGATTGTTTAATTGTGTATTTCTTTTTGCAGGTTTCTTACTTATTCCTACCTCCTGGCCTTCAATGCCTGGCTTCTACTAGCCCCGATTACGCTGTGCTACGACTGGCAGGTTGGGAGTATTCCTCTGGTTGAATCAATCTGGGATCTGAGGAATTTTGCTACCCTGATCCTGGCATTCGTGATGTTTGTCCTTTGTCTACATTGTTTTGTAGCATTTAAGGTAAATAAACTTTCCTCCACACTGAAGTTTACATTTGCGTTTCAAACACATGTAGTATGTTCTTTTTATGGATGATTTTGGTTAGACAGACACTTGACTAATGCTAAACCATGCTCGTTCATGCTGCCCTAGCATACTGTATGACTCTGGACACTGTGTTATAAAACCATGATTTATGGCTTAATGGATTGCCCCAAATAATTGCAGATTATTCAAGAAATCTTGATAAATTAGGGAGAAGGAACCTCCAACCAGCTCTTCTTTTTCTGGAATTTAAGGAAAGGAATAGGAATTGGAAAGCAAACAAATTCAGTTTTAAGTTAATTTCTCCTCCAAATTTTCTTCAAAATTGGACAGCTGAATTTTGGTGATGTGATTTGGAATCATAGAGGTTTAATAGGGTGGAAGTGATAGTGATTATTTATTTATCCATTTAAATGAACTTTGGCAGAACCCAATTCCACCCTGATGTTGGGTGGCCTACTATGTAAAAACAATCTAAACACAACAAATAAATAGAAATGCAGCAAGAGAAATAAACAACATGGCAATCCAGACAACTAACATCAATATTGATCCACTCACATATGCAAGGAAACTAAATAGTACCTTTCTTCTTTGAAATGAATTTGACAGAATTGCTTTGGTAGAAGATATTTGTATCAGGTATTATGCATCCGTGAAATAGGTTGCTGTGAATGCAACATTTCTGCAAAATCAATTTTTTTACTGGACTTCTAGCTGTCAGGTTTTGTGGGGAATATGTTAGAACTTTGCTTGGCAGGACCATTTTTTACTTATTGTTGTGCCTAGCATCTCTCTTGATTACTTAGCTCACTGCAATCTAAATAGAAAACTGGCAAAGGATCAACTTGCTCTTGCTTAGGATCCCTTCGTAAGCAAGTTTGATAGGAGGATAAAGAGAGAGGTCCGCAGGGGAAACGAGTGGGTTAAAAAAAGAAGTAAGAGTGATGTATGAGGATGTGCTCAAGGCTTCTTAACTTATCATAGTGGAAGACTTGGACTTTCTTAGTTCCAACTATTTCTGATTTATTTTTTTTACTAAAAAAATCTTAATCCTTTTTCTTATAACTTTATTTATGCTCCCCTTAAACTTACTTGCTTAGAAATCACCTAAGACACAAAGCAAGTGCTCACCAAATGCTTTCCATTGTTAGAAAATGCATGTTATTTAGAAAACATCTGACAATTTAGCCTACATCCTGAGTGCAAACACAAGCAGAATCCAGTGTTGGCAATGAAACTTGGAAGATGAGCTGTGTGTAAATTTATTCATGAGTACTTTATAATGCTCTAGAGATTCGGATTGCACAAAGTAATACAACTAGCAGTTAGAAATATTATGAGATTCTACTGTAAGGAGACAAAGGAGTTGCTTGTTCTTAGACATGTTTTTTTTTTTTTTGCTCATAAAGCTGTTGCTATCTTCTGTGTGGGTGAGTGGGTTTGTGTTTCTAAAGTATTTTATATCTTGCTCCAAATCTGCTACGTTGCCTTATGCTCTAGTTGGAGAGGTGCCCATATAAATCAAATAAGGAATAATAATGTTTGTGCTTTTTTTTTAAAAAAGTAGGCAAATCTATGTACAATATATATATATATATATATATATATATATATATATATATATATATATATATATATATATATATATATATATATATATATATATATATTATATATATATATATATTATATAAAAAACTATTTCACTGAATTAGTGTCATTCATTCTACGCAGATTTACACATGCAAACCTCCCTCCCCATTAAAAATAAGAATTTGATCAAACTTAACCTGATACTGTGTCTGCATCTGTGCAAAGCCTATAGAGGAGAAGGTATAGTTAGACGTATAACATAACACTTTATTTGAACTATATGTTTGAGTTTTTATCAACCATTGTTCAAACACAATGGAAGCTTTAATCATATTTTGCCATTTTTCCAAGTTAGAGACAAAAAGGTGTAGTTTGAGACTGACGTCAGCGACTGCAATTACACACACAGATTTAAGCATAAATCACAGTTAATTGGTTCTCACAATGCATTAAGTCATAAATGGTGTTTTACGAACCATGGATTCACACATCACGTTATGCCAAAATCAAGGCAATCCCATTATCCCTTGGTGCAATACAGAAGAAAAGATGCATCAGGTTTGATGATGATGTTATCCATTCAGTTGGGTCTGACTCTCGGCGATTCTATGGGCCAGGTTTTTCCACATCTTCTGATCTTGCACTGTTTCTTTGAGTTTCTCTATGCTCTGGCTGATGTCAGCTTTGATGATGTCCAGCCATCATGTTCTTTGGCAGCCTGGTTTCCTTTTACTGCTAACTTTTCCCAACATAATTGCTTTCTCCAGTGAGCATCCCACTGAGTACAGATTATCCTTAGTCCAAGTAATTTCATACCTATAAAGAAGTCATGGTTATGCACTGTTCTGCTATAGCTCTACTCCAGTTAGGTAAATTAATCATGCAGACTATCCTTATATTTTCATTTAAAGAGATATCTAGGTTTAGTGCTACATAGAGCAATTTTTAATAGTTTGCCCAACAATTAAGTATTTCTTCAGTTGTACACATGAAAGGTTGTTTTCACACATATTTCATCTCTGAAAAGCTGGAATAAAGCTCCATCTGGGATAAATTCCGTAATACCTGGGACATATCCTGTTTAGTGAACTGACAGTACGTGCATGGAATGAAGCTGGGGAATCTTAGATTATGTATGAGATGAACAACAAATAAGATGCATGCATTAGACTCCAGTTGCTGGAACAAATTTAATTTACAGCAGTACTTCTCAATCTTTGCAACTTTAAGATATGTGAACTTCAACTCTCAGAATTCCTTAGCCAGTGCATGCTGGATAGGGAATTCTGGGAGTTGAAGTTCATACATCTTAAAATTGCAGAGATTGAGAAACACTGCTCTACAAAAATCACTCTACTATCATCTCCTAGGTCTCAAAAGTGCAATGATCCTTTCTCCTTCTTAAGGATCCTATATTCAGAGTTCATGTTTTGTGTTTCATTGAGCATTAGATGGGCCAAAGCATTGCAAGGAATATTCTGCTTCTATGATTCCATTAAAAAAATCATATGGGTAGCTGTGGTGTAGCTGCCCAATTTTCATTTGCATGAAGTGGTTTTGTCATGTACTAAAATGAGTAAAGGAAAAGCAAGAATATGACTGGGAAATGATGAGCGGAACAATTCACACAATTAAACTGACAAATTGAAAAGTTATTTCGGAGAGTATTCAGTGGTGGATGACTACAGCTGGGTAATTGCTAAACCATATGCATCACTCTGCAAGGAGCAATTCTGTCTATGATCTTAACTTGTCAGTGTAGTTGTATGAATTTCTCTTAAATCAGAAGGACTGATTCAAGGCATCAGTCTGCCTGTACTTTTCATTTTATTGATGCCAGTCAGGGCTTTTCTCACAGGAAAACTTAGGTATGGAATCTTTTTATGAGAGAGAAAGGAATAAATCTTATCTTCCTACTTATGCAACTTGCCTCTTTTTGATTTGGAATGGGACAGCATACCACGGCCCACTCACTGCAGGACGATTCAGCAAATGCAAAGGTTAAATTAATTTCAATGGAACCGTGTCCAATCATAATAAAATAAAGTCAATCCAGAAATACAAGAGTTACAATAATTCGATAAAAACCTGGTCACCAATAATAATAAAAATAACTGAATGAAACAATATAGCAGTGGTGGCAAACCTATGGCACGCGTGCCAGAGATGGCACTCGGAGCCTTCTCTGTGGACACGCGCGCCATGCCCCGGAGATGGCAACCGTCTTCTTCAACCAGCCACCCGCTAACTTGCTGAGGTCCCACGTGGCTGGATGTGTCCCAACACCCATGCACTTGCTGGCCTTTGTGTGTGGGGGCCGATGGTGTCAGGCAGTGGCCCCCTGGCCCCTGCCTCGCCTTGCCCTACGACATGGCACCCCCGCCCTGCCTCGCCTCACCCCGCAGAACCAGCCTCAGAGACCCCTGCATCTCCCCCAACCCTGCCCGGCCCCCACAGGCTTCCCTCCCCAGGAGCAACATCGAGTTGGCCATGCCCACCCTAGCCACGCCCACCCATCTGCCATGACCACTGTAGCCATGCCCATTCGGCGGCCACGCCCACCTGGCACCCGACAATACATAAGTGGGTTTTGGGTTGAAGTTCGGGCACTCGGTCTCTAAAAGGTTCGCCATCACTGCAATATAGCGTCGGATTGTTCCTCGGTGAGTTGTACCTTGGCAAGTTGGCCATGGCTGTTGTTCTGCAGTGAGTTGTCTGGGGCGAGCTGACCAAGGCAACATGGCTGTAGTGAGTTGGCCATGGCAATTTGTCCTAGACCCTCTCTGATTAACTCTCCAGAAGCAGCTCCTATTTGAGAGAACGAGGGAGATTCTGTGTTCTGTTTAGTTGCCTGAACCGTTTGGGAACACAGAACATTTTTGAGGGGAGGATATGATTGCCATGAAGCCATCGAAAGGCTGTGTTCACATAGCATTCTAAACCATAATGTGGTTCTATTGGTTTTAGGTTATTATGCTTTATGAATGGTAACTTCATATTCAGTAAGCCATGTCTAAAGCAAACCATGGCTGAACTCAGAAATGGGCAACTGCAGGCCTTCTTTAACCTGAAAACCTCTTTTTAGAGGTTCCCAGATTCAGATCTGACTGCGGTCCATGAAAATTGATAGATTTCCTGCCATTTTGAAGAGAGAAGCACTAAAAACAGTGGCATAACATTTAAAGCAGGCCTAAAATAATTTTAAAAATAAATGTTAATCTCTGGTATTTATGAAAAAAAACAGGAGTCATTTACAACATACAGTGTAAGGACTGCACCAGCCACTATGTACAGTATAACAAACAGGCAGAAGACTGGCAGAGTGCATTCATGAACTAACTAGCAGTCAGAAGACATGAAAACTCCTTAGTTTCACAACA